CATCGTCATCATCATCGTCATCATCATCGTCATCGTTGCCGTCGTCATCATCCTCAACATCAGCAGCGTGATCAGCAGCGTCATCATCATCCGCATCTTCGTCATGACCATCATCACAAACATCATCATCACCATCAGTTCCATCTTCATCATCCTCATATCGCCACCATCATCATCATCACCATCACCACCAGCATCATCATCACCATCATCATCGTCACCATCATCACCATCTTTATCATCGTCGTCATCATCATCACCATCATCATCATCGTGGTCACTAGCATAATGATCATCATCCTCATCATCATTGTCATCATCGTCGTCGTCGCCGTCGTCGTCGTCAGCATCAGCATCATCGTCAGCAGCATCATCATCGGCATCATCATCATCGTCATCATCTTCGTCATCATCCTCAGCATCATCGGCATCATCATTAGCGCCATCATCATCAGCATCTTCGTCATGATCACATATGATCACCATCACCAACAACAGCACCACCATCATAATCAGCAGCAGCAACGTCATCTTCATCACCATCATCTTTAGCATCATGATCACCATCTCCACCATCATCATCATCATCATCATCATCACCATCATCATCATCATCATCATCATCATCATCATCATCAATGTGCTGCTCCGCTGTTACTTGTGGCTCCAATCGGGCCGCAGTACCGTTCTCAGGTCTCTTTCGGGCTCGGCGGCGAGTCATGCTGCGCTGGACTTGATGACCGCCGAGGCTGCGCGCGCGATCGGCGCGGTGCCACGGAGCCCTGCCTTGATTGCGTGTGCACGCCGTCGTTCACGTATCCGCAGCCGTCGTGTCATCAGCTGGCCTGCCATTGTCCGTCGGGGGCGGACTACGGGACCGCCACTCCCATGGTCGACCCTTGCCCGACGGTGGATGGCCTGGCGGGCTGGGCGGCCCCTATATTCCAACGCTTCGCGTATCCCCACCAGTAGAATTCCCCGCCATTTTGGCGATGCATCCCGCCTGGCAGTGCCCCAATCGACGGCGCCCTCTCCTGAGCGGCAGCGAGGCCCGCCTCCTGCTTGTTCCTCCTCCGCTGTCCTCTCATCGCCTGTTTTTCTTCTCGTCGCCTGTTTCCCTCCTCTCGGTGCGCAATTCGCTCGTGGCCCGCTGCTGCGACTTTGACGGTGTCCGGCACCTCCGGCGCGCTCGCGATCAAAAACGATCCCCACTTGCCCACTGAGAAACCCTGCCCATGAAAGCTGGCAGGATAAGGGACGAGGAGACACACGTGGTGGAACAGAGCGGGCAACCAGGATGAACAGAGAGGTCTCTGGGAGCGAGGGGGTTGCATTGGATGGCCTCTTCGGGCCCGCGTGGGAGCAAGGGGAGCGGAAGGAGGAAGAGGAGGAGGAGGAGGAGAAGGAGGGAAACGATAACGACGACGTCCACGACGAGGAAGAGGAGAAACATGAAAAGGAAACCAATGAGGGCAAGGATTGGGGCAAGGACGAGGAGAAGGACAACTAGGACGAGGACCGAGGCCTGACAATCGCCTCCTTGAGCTTTCTTATGATTTTTTTCGGAGATGTTGGAGTCCTCCCGGGGCTCTTTCGGGGGTCTTGGGGCCCTCTTGGGCCCTCTTAGGTCTTTTTGGGACATGCTGAGGCCTCAACAGCGCATCGGAAAGGAAACGACGAGAAGGCAACCATCACTGTTTTCCCTTAGGTGCTTGAAGGATTTTGGCTTCTTGGGGGGCCCTGAAAAAGACTCCGAGAGCACTTGGAACCGTCTTGTGGCCCTCGTCGGACCTCCCGGAGGTATGTCGTCGGCTATTTGGGGGGGCCATTTTGGAGCAGGGGAGGCCCTCTTGTAGCAAACTTGGGCCATCTTGGGCGCCCTGACATGATCGCGGCCCGCCCCCAAAAAACCCTCGGGACGGGGGGGGGAAAGTCGACCTCCCGGAAGGGAGAGGTTTCCGGAAGAGGACAGAAGGATTTCGCTTGACCACCGTAGCCCAAAAGGGCTGCTGGGATTCGTGATCGGTCTGCTCGTCGGCGCGGCTGCCGCGCGCTGGGCGCTGACTTCGCCTGCGCCCGCGGAGGCCCTCGTCGGCGTCGATTCGGCGGAGCTTGCCGTGCAGCAGTCGCGCGCCGTGCGGCCGCGCTTCGCAGTGATGGCGGGTTCCTTCTACGCGGTGCGGTGCCGCGTGGCGGGCCCAACCTTGTGGCACGAACGCTTGACGCCGAGAGAGGGCGGGGCGCTCTCCCGCACATCCTCACGCCCGACGGCGACGACTACGACGGACTGAACGCTCCTGGCCCCGACATCCATGCAGTCATCCGCCTCGCGGGCCATGGCGCGACCCCGCCCGGCTTGTTGGAGGCCCATGTCCACCGCTTCCGCCGCCCCCCCACGGCGGCGCAGGCGTGGGCGGCCGTGGCCAGGGCCGTGGCGGGCCACCTGCTGCCGCCTGGGACCCTGCCGCTGGAGCTCGCCGCAGGCAGCGTGCTGTGCGTGGCGCCGGGCGCCCACTGCCTCGCGGATCCTGCCGGCCCTGCGGCGGCGGCTGCTGGGGCCTCGCCGCCGCGCGTTGGCGCCGGAGGCGCGGCGCAGCTCCGCCCGCGGGGCGCCGCTGCCGCCCTCGCCCCTCGCCCTGGTGCCAGGTGCGGCGCCCCCCCCCCCCTCGACAGCCCTCGCGGGCGCGGCCCCTGGGCTGCCCGCGCTGGCCGCCGCCCTGGGGGGGCGCCGCCTGCCGCTGTTGGAGGGGCGCTGGCCACTCCCGCGGCCCCCGCCGTGGCCCGCCGCCGCGGGGCCTGGCGGCCATTTCCGCGTCCTCTCCATGCAGACGAGCGATCGTGGCCAGCGCGTGACGAGGTTCGGTGGGGCCGCCAGCTCCCTGACGCAGACGCCCGTTGTCAGGTGGCCCGTCGAGGGCCCGCGGGCCCTCTTGTGGTGCTTCGCCTTCATGGTAAAACTTGCGGGGCCCCCCATGGCCACGATGCTTGCCGACAACGACGGGCACGCCAGGCTCCACGAGACGCGGTGCAGCGTCCTGGAGTTGGCCGTGGTCTACGACCAGCTGCATGTGGCGGAGATGGGGGTCGTTCGAGGCGATCGCCCGCCAGCTCCAGCTGCTGGAGTAGCACGTCTACGAGGCTCTCACTTCCACGGCCGCCGCGGTCGGTCCCAAAACGAAGGTGGCGGCCAAGAGTGCCAGCAGCAGCGGCAGCAAGGCCTCCCCGGAGACCAGCTACTTCCTCGGCGCGGGCGTCTCGAAGGCCAACCTGTGAATTTGCCCGTAGCTGCTGGAGTACATCGCCGGACAAATGAGGGCTGAAGGGGCCATAAGCAAGGAGCGCTGCAAGGCCCGCTCCTCGCGGGCCTTGCGGGCGCCATGAAGCTCGATGAGACCAGGCCTGGCCGCGGGGTGCTCCCGGGTGGCGCCCGCCGTGCGCATTGCCCCAGCGCTGCTCGTTCAGTCCGGCAGCGCGATGCGTTTCCTTTCCGCCCTCGCCCCGTAGAGCGAAAGTCGGGCATTTGTTGTGTGGGGATCTCGTACTTCCAAAGGTGCTGTTTGGCAAGAGTGGTCCAACGCTGGCGTCGACACCCTCGATGTGGCCCGAGCGATATGGGCGCGCCGCCTCCTGGCCTTCCTCCAGTTGCCAGCAGTGACTCTGAAGAGTTCTTCGCTCAACAGCATCCTGGATACTTAAGTCTCCAGAAGAGAGAGAGAGAGAGAGAGAGAGAGAGAGAGAGAGAGAGAGAGAGAGAAAGAAAAAAAATATCCCGGCAAAGCAACCTAACAGCGATGTGTAGAAGCATAGCTGGAAGCATTGCCTTTGGTATTCAGGTAAGAGCGCTGTTGTAGAATTCTGGTGTTCTCGCAGTCGCATTCGGATTCGCAGTGGCAGTCGCAGTGGCAACATCAGCGGCAGTCGCAGTGGCACTGCCAGTAGTTGCAGTAGCAATAGCTACACTAGCAGCAGCAACAGCAGCAGCAACAGTAATAGTGTTCATGCAACATGTCTTTGGGGATGCGGTCGCGATGGTCCGAGAAACGTTTGGCCAACTTGTTTTCGGCCCGTTCTTGTTCGGACGTTCCTTTATTTCGCTTCGGTATCCGGCCGAACTGCTTCACGTGCTCGACGAGCGTTTGCAGAGGACCGCTCAATGCAGCACGCTGAGGAGCAGCGCTGTTCCCTGCCGCAGGCTGAGGAGCACCGCTGTTCAATGCAGCAGGGTCAGGAGCACCGCCGCCAGACCGAGAACTATCAGCATGTCCTGGCATTAAGGTGTGCAGTAGGCGCTGCGCAGTTCCTTTGAAAGGAAATCTTCGAAAGCAGGGCTGTAGCCAAGAAGGCTACGGGGACGATGATGATGATGAAGATGATGAGTCTTGGAAGTCTGGGAAGTGGAAGAGCACGAAGTGGCGTACAGTTGGCTCCGGGCATTCAAAATGTGGCCCGGGAGTGGAGTTCTGGGAAGTGGAAGAGCACGAAGTGGCCTACAGTTGGCTCCGGGCATTCAAAATGTGGCCCGGGAACGGTGTTCTGGGAAGTCCAAGAGCACGAAGTGGCCTACAGTTGGCTCCGGGCATCCAAAATGTGGCCCGGGAATGGAGTTTTGGGAAGTCGAAGAGCACGAAGTGGCTTACAGTTGGCTAATGTGGCCCGGGAATGGAGTTCTGGGAGGTCGAAGAGCACGAAGTGTGCGACTGTTTGCTTAAAACGAGCCCGGCCCTCGCCTGTCCGGCTCCCGCCCAGACCCCCCTGGGGAGTCATCAGATGCTTTCTTTTGACCCCATTAGAAACCTATCAGTTTTCGCTGTTAGGTAAAAAAGAGAGAGGCAGCCCTGATGGAGTTGCTCGCGTCGGCGCCTGGGTACTCTGCTGGTTCCCACGTACGTTCCTACAGCAAGGTGTTTGTCTCCTGGCCTAACTATGCGCACGGCTCCTGTCCCGACAGCCGACTCCGTCGCTGAAACCGACCGTCATACGTTGATTTAGGCGTAGGCGCCATGAGCTACGCGACCCCGCCGGGTCGGCTACACGGGGGGAGGGGTCTGAAATTGATCAGCCCCGCGTTGATCCTCATCTTCGGTTTTCGTCTCGTCAGTGCGTGGGCTCTTTGCTTCTCGTCAGTGCGCTGATTCCTGCTTCAAGTGCATCGATCTGGCGCGCTTCTGTAGGGGGTCGCCGAACGCCAGGACATTTTCTCTACTGGGTTGTTCTTTGCCGAGAAAGCCAGCGACGTCATTTTGCGCCTCGCGTTCGACGCGCGGGTTTCCAACCTGCCCCCCGCGGCCCCTCCCCCCACCAGATGGCTGGCCCCGCTGGCGCGGGGCGCGCCCGAGGCCAGCGGCGTTTTTTTTTCGTGGCCAAAGGCGCCGTGCAGCGCGCGATCTACCATATGGAGCTACCTCCGCATCTTAGTCGCTACTTCAGATTCCCCGTTGCGCTGCGGAGGTGCCCTGGCTCCAAGCACCTGGGCGGCGCCGAGATCGGGGGCCGCGGCTGCCTGCAGCCGCTCGTCTACGTCATGTCGACGGGCTGGCCGTGGACGTCGCACTTCTGCCAGTCCGCCCTGGCCGAGGCCATCGACGCTGGCGTCTCTGCTGGTCGACGGCGCCGCGGCGCCGCCGCTGCGCGAGAACTCCGTCGTCGTCGTCGTCGTCGTCGTCGTCGTCGTCGTCGTCGTCGTCGTCGCCGCGGGCTGCGTCGATGACCTCGCCGCGGTCTCGCCGGGCCCAGACGTCGCCGCGGCCGAGTGGCAGGACATTCGCGCCGCGCTGGGGGCGAGGGGCCCATTGGTTGGCGACTTAGCCCCGGCTGCGCAGCGGGTCGCGTTCGCGGGCGCGGGCGCCCTCGGCGACGCGGGCGTCGTCGGGTGCAGGAGCGAACAGCTCGGCTTATTTCGCTCGGCGCTGCTTGGGCCGGTCAGGCCAGGCTTCGCCTGGCCGCTCGCGTCGGCGGCCGCGGTCGGTCATTGCGCGCGGGGCGCGATCGCGAGTCGGCCCGTGCTGTCGATCTTCAGGGCAGTGCGCCACTTCGCGGCTCGGGGGTCGCGGGGGGCCGCGCCGCTGCGGCCGGGCTCGCGAGGCGGCCGCGGCCGTCGCCCCGCCCCGGGCTGGCGCCAGGGCCAAATAGAGCGCCGCCTCCTCCTGCAGCGACGCGTCGCCCAACCACGTCGGAGTCGGGGCCCGCTGCGAGACCTTCGACCGGGAGACAGCGACTCGGCCGGCAGGCAATCTTAGCGGCGGCGCCGCCGCGACTCGGGCGCGGCGCACGCTTGGGCTCGCGCTTTCGGTATTTTGCCCAACGCGGTCTTGGGCGGCGCCCCTCAGCACAAGATAACAAAAGTGCATGGGGGGGCCGCCGGCATCTGGTGCTTCCTGGGCACCCAACTGGGCCCATGTCATCATCGTCGGGCCCTTGTTGCGCGAAGTCCCATCGCGGCTCGGGGATCAGTTTACTTCGACAGCGACTTCGGCGGCGAGGCGATCGACTGCGACGAAGCGCCCGATCAACTTCGACCGCGGCGGCCCGATGGCGCAGGACACGTTGGCCGTTTTCAACCCAAGAGGGTCGGTTTGGGAGGCTCCGAGCCCAGCCACGATGGAGAACGACATGCCGCCCATCTTCAACCCAGAATGGAAGGTTCACGAAGCGGCTTCGACGAGCTCTCCGGCGCGATCGCTGCGAGCGACGTCTGGGCGGCGACCCATTCTTCGCATCATTCGAGGCTCGGCTTAGACATCGTGCGATGCGACGCGCGTCTCGGTCTGGCCGGCTTCGCCGCCGACGCGTCCTCTTCGCTGCGGACAATTTGGCTCTGGCACCTGCCGCGGGCAAGGGTCGTTCAGGCGCTCGCAGAATCCTTCAGCGAACGCGAAAGCTCTGCGCGTTATCGGCGGCCGCCAGGATTCGAGCGCAGCGCGCTGGATCCCCGGCGAACGCAATGCCTCGGACGCGCCGTCGTCGGCCCGTTTCGCTCGGCCAAACAGGCGGGTTGTTCCCCAAGTCTCGACGGCAGCGAGCTGCGACGCTGGCCGAACAGGGGGGCGAGGATTCGCCCTGCCCCCAGCTCGCCCATGAGCAGAGCTCCGTCGGCGCTCGAGACGGCGGCTATCTCCGACGCGACGGCGGCCAAGTACTGGGGGCTGCCAAAGAGTGCTAAGAGTGGCGCCGCTAGGCGAGCAGGGGCTTCTCGACTGCGGCGGAGTGCGACGTCGTCTTTGTTGCCCACGGCGTGAACCTTGGCGCCGCGGGGGCGGCGCTGATGGCGGCGCTGAAGCACCGCGCCCCGCCATGTCGCGGCTCGTGCCTTGACTTGGTAGCAGAAGCTGGCGCCGCCGCAGATGCGCCCCCCCCCCCCCCCCCGCGAGCGGCGATGGCCGCGGTCGTCGGGGTTCTGGTGACCAGGCACTTCTTCGCCGTGGCCGTCCTTATCAGGCTGATGCTCGACGCTTGCCCGAGGCCGCGCGAGGCCTGCTTCCCCCCGGCAGGCAGCGTCGCGTCGCGCGCCCTCGCCCCGACGGGGCGGGGGGTCGGGGCCATTGGGCGCTCGTCATCAACGACGCCTTCCTCAATCGAGAACTGGCGAAACGGGCGAGTCCGACGAGAGCGCGGTCGTCGACGGCCTCGTAATGTGGCTGGAAGCGCCGGTGCACGGGGAGGCCTCGACTGACAGTTTGTGGACTATCGCGCCCGACGAGGCGCGCGGCATGTTCCGTCGCGCTGCCTCGGACGTCGGCCCGGAGGCCGAGCCGGCGCTGGGCCCCCTCCGTCGCGGGGGGCCTCGGACGACCTCCTCTCGCAGAGGCGCGCGAGGAAGGGGCAGAGCTGGCCAGAGCCCGCCCCGCCGCGCGAAGCGGGCTCGGACGCAGCTGCTCGTCGCAAGCCCCGGGCAGCCGATCGTCGCCTTCGGCGGGGAGGTCGATCGGCGGCTCGAGGAGCTAGCTCATCTTGCAGACGAGCGCATCGGGCGTCTTTCCGCTGAAAGCGCCGCTGGCCGCGACGCCGAGGGGGCCCATGGCCACGCCGCAGTGCTTCCCATGCCCCCTCGAGCGGCGGGGAGGTAAAGGGGTAGATGAAGGGAGGGAGGGGGGGAGGGGAGGAGGGGGAGGGAGGGAGGGAGGGAGGGAGGGAAGGCGGGGTGATGAAGATGATGATGATGATGATGATGATGATGGTGGTGATGGTGATGGTGATGGTGATGATGGCGGTCGTGGTTGTGACGCTGGTTGTCGTGACGGTGGAGGTGGCGATGATGGTGGTGACGGTGGTGATGATGATAATGATGATGATGGTGATGATGATGATGGTGATGGTGATGGTGATGATGATGATGATGATGATGATGATGGTGTTGGTGATGGGGATTGTGATGGTGATGATGGTGAAGATACTGATGATGATGGTGGCGGTGGCTGTGGCGACGGTGGTAGTGATGATGATGATGATGATGCTGTTGATAATGATGGTGATTATGATTGTGGGGATGATGCTGTGGTGGTGGTAATGGTCATGGTGATGATGATGACAATCAAGATGAAGATGATGACGGTGATGACGAGGTGAAGGTGATGGTGATTATGATTATGATTATCATGATTATTACGATGAATATCATGATGATACTCTTAATGGTGATGGTGATGCTGATGGTGGTAATGGTGATGCTGATGATGATGGTGATGATGATGATTGTGACGGTGATGGTGATGGTGATGATGATGGTGGTAATGATGATGATGATGATGATGATGAAGATGAAGATGAAGATGATGATGACGATGGTGATGATGGTGATGATAATGTAGATGGTGATGATTGTGATGATGATGGTACTGGTGATGATGATGGTGATGGTGATAATGATGACGGTGATGGTGATCGTGATGGTGATGATGATGGAGATGATGACGATGGTGATGGTGATGGTGATGGTGATGGCGATGTTGGTAATGATGATCACGATGGTGAAGACGATGTTGATGGCGATGGTAATGATGATGATGGTGGCCGTGGTGGTGGTGACAGTGGTGATGGTGATGGTGATGTCAGGGATGATGATGACGATGATGTTGATGGTGGTGGTAATGATGATGATGATGATGATGATGATGATGATGGTGATGATGATGATGATCGTGATGATGCTGCTTCTGCCTATGGTGGTGTTGCTGCTGGTGGTGATGACGGTGTTGGTGATGATGATGGTACTGGTGATGATGATGGTGATAATGATGACGGTGATGGTGATGGTGATGGTGATGACGATGGAGATGGTGACGATGGTGATGGTGATGGTGATGAAAATGAAAATGACGATGGTGCAGACGATGATGATGACGATGATGATGATGATGGTGGTGGTGGTGGTGACGGTGGTGGTGATGATGATGATGATGATGATGATATCGGAGATGACGATGACGATGATGTTGATGGTGATGGTAATGATGATGATGATGGTGATGATGCTGCTTCTGCCTATGGTGGTGATGTTGCTGCTGGTGATGATGATGATGATGATGGTGACGGTGATGGTGATGGTGATGAAGGAGATGGTGGTGATGATGGTTACGGTGAGGCTGATGGTGATGGTGATGGTGGTGGTAATTATGATGGTGTTTGTGATAATGATGGTGATGGTGATGGTGGTTATGATGATGCTGATGAGGAAAAAGAATATGATGATGGTGGTGACGGTGGTGATCGTGATGATGAAGGTGAAGATGAAGATGATGATGGTGATGATTATGTTGAAGTTGATGCTGATGATGATGATGATGACGATGGCGATGAAGCCAATCATGATGGTGATGATAATGATGGAGATGGTATGTGATGGTGATGGTGATGACGCTGGTGAAGATGACGATGCTGATGATGATGATGCTGATGGTGGGCGCGGCTGTGGTGGTGACGGTGGTGGTGGTGATGGTGTTGATGGTGGTGATGATGATGGTGATGATGATGATGGTGATGATGCTGACGATGATGACAATGATGACGATGATGGTGATTTTGATGATGCTGCTGATGAAGATGATGACGATGATGATGATGGTGATGGTGATGGTGATGGTCCTGCTGCTGCCTATGATGATGATGGTGATGATCATGATGATGATGATGATCATGATGCGGCTGATGATGATCGTCGGTGATCATAATGGTGATGGTGATAGTGATGGTGGTGATGATGATGGTGATGATGATGATGGTGATGGTGATTGTGATGATGATCATGGTGCTGGTGATTGATGTTGATGGCGATGGAGATGAATATGAAGATCAAGGTGACTTCTGAGGTGATGAGGTGATTGATGATGATGCTGATGATGGTGATTGTGAAGATGATGGTGATGATGGTGGTTTTGATGAAGATGGTGATTATGGTGAAGGTGATGGTGATGGTGGTGATGATGATGATCATGATGGTGATCATGATGATGGTGATTGCGATGATGATGACGATGGTGAAGATTGTGAAGATGATGACAATGATGACGATGATGGTGATGGTGGTGGTGGTGGCTGCGGCGGTGGCGGTGGCGGTGACGGTGGTGGTGATGAGTATGATGGTGATGATGATGATGGTGGGGATGATGATAACGATGATGGTGATGGTGATCGTAATGGTGATGGTGATGGTGATGATGCTGCTGTTGCTGATGATGATGAGGATGACGAGGCGGTAGAGGAGGAGGAGGAGGAGGAGGAGGAGGAGGAGGAGGAGCAGGACAGTACTGGCGTTGGTGTCCGCTTCTGCGCCTCCGATCCTCGGCCTCGGCCTCTGCTGCGCCTGCGCGCTGCTCCTGGGCTGCACGGCCGCCGGCGCCGCGCGGCGGGGCCGCCGCTGAGCGCCGACGCGCCCGGGCGCGCCCGCCGGTGGCCGATCGCCCTCAGCCCCAGGCATCCGAAAAAAATGGTTTCGGCCTCCTACAGTCAAGACGTTTCAACAAGGAGCACTTTGAGTTCGGAAGGGGCTCGATGTTCCCTGGGCTCCTCGACTGCGGCGGAGTGCGACGTCGTCTTTGTTGCCCACGGCGTGAACCTTGGCGCCGCGGGGGCGGCGCTGATGGCGGCGCTGAAGCACCGCGCCCCGCCATGTCGCGGCTCGTGCCTTGACTTGGTAGCAGAAGCTGGCGCCGCCGCAGATGCGCCCCCCCCCCCCCCCCCGCGAGCGGCGATGGCCGCGGTCGTCGGGGTTCTGGTGACCAGGCACTTCTTCGCCGTGGCCGTCCTTATCAGGCTGATGCTCGACGCTTGCCCGAGGCCGCGCGAGGCCTGCTTCCCCCCGGCAGGCAGCGTCGCGTCGCGCGCCCTCGCCCCGACGGGGCGGGGGGTCGGGGCCATTGGGCGCTCGTCATCAACGACGCCTTCCTCAATCGAGAACTGGCGAAACGGGCGAGTCCGACGAGAGCGCGGTCGTCGACGGCCTCGTAATGTGGCTGGAAGCGCCGGTGCACGGGGAGGCCTCGACTGACAGTTTGTGGACTATCGCGCCCGACGAGGCGCGCGGCATGTTCCGTCGCGCTGCCTCGGACGTCGGCCCGGAGGCCGAGCCGGCGCTGGGCCCCCTCCGTCGCGGGGGGCCTCGGACGACCTCCTCTCGCAGAGGCGCGCGAGGAAGGGGCAGAGCTGGCCAGAGCCCGCCCCGCCGCGCGAAGCGGGCTCGGACGCAGCTGCTCGTCGCAAGCCCCGGGCAGCCGATCGTCGCCTTCGGCGGGGAGGTCGATCGGCGGCTCGAGGAGCTAGCTCATCTTGCAGACGAGCGCATCGGGCGTCTTTCCGCTGAAAGCGCCGCTGGCCGCGACGCCGACGCCGCCCCTCGTCTGGCCGCCGCCGCGGATTTTAGATCCGCGGGGCGCCGACCGACGCGACAGTGGAGAGGCGCCCTTGCTCGGCGGCAGGCGCCCTGCTCCCGCGGCGCTGGAGCTCGGCGGGAGCGGCGGCGGCGGACTCAGCGGCAGCCAGGATTCAGAATCGGGCGCCTCGATCCGCGTCGCCACCCTGCCGACGACGTCTCAGATCCAGTCGCGCGCCGTCGTGTCTTCGGTCGGATCCGAGCTGGCTGCATGTCTTGCGTTTGGATCGAGCCCCGCACTGCGACCATGTGGTGTCGACGGTCCCCGCCCGCTGCTCCTTGCAGCATTCGTGCAGCCTGTCCAGTTTGGTTTCTGCCGAAGCTCGGTCTGTGGCCATCGCCAATATGGTAAACCCTGCGTGCATTAGCATATTGTTGAAATGCTTCCGCCGAAAAGTACCCGCTCCTTTGTCCCATCTTGATGCCACATATATCTGGGATGTGGAAGGTTGTATCAATGTTCTCTGCCGGCCCCGCCGATTGCAGTGTTCGACTCGCGCATGTATTCCGTGTGAGTGAAAACGAACTTTGCTCTTCTAGCTGGGACGTTCGTCCGCTAAACGATATATGATCCAGGGCCCCGGCCCCCCCCCCTCATGCTGATGCCATCGCCCCCCGCCCCCCCTGCGCGATGGGCCACCCCCTGCGGGCGTGGCGTGGTAGGGTCTTCCCCTGTGGGCGTGCGGTGGTGGGCCGTCGTTGTCGTCGTCGTCGTCGTCGTCATCGTCGTCGTTGTCGTCGTTGTCGTCGTCGTCGTCGTCGCCGTCGCCCCCCCATCCCATCTTGGGGGGGTGGGGGGGCCGAGGGACCCTGAGACCTATCCCATCGGGGGGAGGGAGCGTGGGCCCAGAGCCCAGGATCATACATCAGCTATGTGTTCGTCTGCCGCTTCGTTGTGTTGCCGCACTCACAAGAGGCACTTGGGCGATCTGGGCATCCCCGCGCTCGGCAGGAAGGCCCGTGAATTCGCGGCTTCGCCGCCCTTGAGTGTCGCGCGCCCCGCTTGCGACAGGATTGTGAACAGTGTTGATAGCCTGCAGTACGTTGCTCGATTAGTGAGATGCTTGTGAAATTCAGCAATATTTGCGGTTGTCGCCAGTGTTGTGAACTAGCCATAGTACTTGTTGCTCGTGCGCAGCGGCCCCAGCCCATGCCTGGCGCCCCTCGCACAAAAGAGTCGTCTGACCACGGATCCGTCCACATTGTGCTGTTCCGCTGTTGTTTGTGGCTCCACTCGGGCCGCATTCCCATTCTCAAGTCCCTCCCTCTTTCTTCTCCCCGAACTTCGAGTGTTCATGCTCACTGTTCGTGTGCAGCGGCCCATGTACATGCCTGGCGCCCCTCGAACAAAAACATTCGCCTGGCCACGAACCCGTCCATACCCTCGTCTCCATCATCATCATCAATAGCACCGCCATCATCATCATCATCATCATCATCATCATCATCATCATCATCATCATCATCATCATCATCATCATCAACAACATCATTTCAATAACACATCACCATCATCAGCATCGACATTATCACCATCATCAATTTCATCCTGAAGAGGGGCGAATAAAGTTGCACTTTTCGTGCATTTTAAGGGCCCTAAAGGAACTTTTCTTGGGTCGACAGGGCACGAGAGGTGAACGTTTTTTGTTTGATTCACCACCACTCATCGCCCCCCATTGCGCGACGCCCAAGGGGGGGACGGAAGCAAATCATGGGAGCCCCGTTTGTCTTGGTAGTGCCGCTAGAGTGCACTAGCGTGCGCTGGCGCCTGGTGGTCGATGCGAAGGCGCTGATCTGGCGCCGAATATCGTCGATGCGGCGTCTGCTGGCGTCGGCCAGCGTCGATTCGCAAGAGCCACCAAGATGGCGTGCGGGCTCTCCTATGAGTTGCCACCGAAGGACCGTGTGGGCGGTGACGATGCACACGGCGCACGTCCTGGTGGCGGCCTCCGAGGGCCCCGGCTCGCCAATCGCCGCTGGCGGCGGGCGTGTCCATGTCGGTGCCCGTCGCGGCCCGGACGCCCGGGCGCGACCCCGTGGGTCTGCGACGCCATTCGGAGTCGGAGGCGGGGATTTATCCATAACCGCCGCCTGGGGGATCGATCTTCGCGGACTTCCACTGGCAATAGATCTGGATATCTTCGGGCCCAAAGGGGGGCCAGAACATATCCGCATCCGCCGCACGGTTGGGGCACCAGGGCGTCGGTTCCCAGGCGGCGGATATGGATACGCCCCTGCCTCGCAGCCCCGTGGGTGCGCGACGCGCGGAGCTTCAGCGCCGGGCCGCCCCGTGTCCATGGGGTCGCTGCCGGAGGGTCCAGGTCGCGAAGCCGCGGATGTGGATGTGCTCCCCCCCCGGCGAGCTCGGGTGTCGATGGGCCACTGGTCCCTCAGTCGATCGAGGTCGGACGCGCTCGGGCCGGATCCGGGCGGGGACGAGCCGGGCCGCGATCGGGCCGGGATCGAGGCCGGGCGTCGGGACGGCCCGGCCGCCACGAAGGAAAGGGGCCCGGAAGGCAACGGATGCGAAACCTCGGGACTCTCTCCTGGGCTAGCTCGTCACCTTGAGTCGTTCTTTCTGACGGCCCTGGGGCTCGCAGGCGAGCTTCCATGGGGCCCGAGAACCGAGCTCCCAGGACCCCTCTCACCCAGCCCCACGCCAACCTGGCCGAAGGGGTCACCCGCCTGGCCCAAGTCCGCTCAAAATGACCCCTCCCCCGTGACCATCATGACCAATTTTTCGAGTCGGATCATGCCGTGGCGTCGGGAAGTCACCAGGGCCCTGACAGACGGTCGCCGGCAAAAAGCTCATGGGAGGGGGCATGACCCCTTCCGGCCTGCGGGCCGCAGCCCTTGACCCAGACCACGGGGGAAATGAGCCTCTGACGGCCGCTTCCAGCCGCCTTCGCGGGCCAGCGCGTGCAATGCTACGACGCTGCAGTGCACAGGATGAGGAGGAGGAGGAGGAGGAGAAGGAGGAGGAGGAGGAGGAGGAGGAGGAGGAGGAGGAGGAGGAGGAGGAGGAGGAGGAGGAGGGGGGGCACGAGGAGCGGCCCCCAGCAAGGACGAACATCGCCAGGGGAGAGCCGCCGTTGCCTCGACTGGCCCTCCTCCGACTTCCGAGGTGGTGACCTTCTGGCAGCTGCTGCTGCGCGCGAAGGCGCCCGAGGCGGAGCACCTCAACGGCTACGTCACCGCCGCTAGCTACCTCCTGGGCGGGCTGGGCCTGCTGCTCTCGGCACGCGCGCCGGTGATGTCGGACCGGGGCGCCCGCCGGTGGCTGATAGGCCAGGGCCGGGAAGCCTGAAATCGGAGGCCCGACTCATCAGGGCTTCCCCCTCCGCCTCCTCCGGTCCGCCTCCTCCTCCTCCTCCTCCTCCTCCTCCTCCTCCTCCACAATTACTCAATATGAATACTACTCTCCCTCTTCCCCTGATGACGTCTTTTGCGTATTCGCCCCCCCCCCCCGCGTATTGTGTTTTTTATATACACACACACACACACACGATTCCCCGGAGTTGGGTTGTTGCTTGCGTTTTGGTTTTCGGGCCTGCGTTTTTTTTTTTTTTTTTTTTTTTTTTGTTTTTTTGTTTTTTTTGTTTTTCAATATGCTGCTCTCGCTGAGGCGTCGGCCTCATTTCTGCTCCCCAATTGTTCCGAATCGTGCTCCCGCTGCAGCGTGGGCCTCATTTTCGGATCGTTGTTTTGCCTACGTCGTTCAGGATGGCGTTCTCGCCCCAGCGCGGGCCTCTTTCTCGCGCGCCCATCCGCCCGCCACCACCGCGCCGCACCACGCCCCGCCCCGCCGCACGCACACCCACCGCCACTTCCACCCACCAACGCACGCACGCACCCACGCGCACCAGCACCGCGCACCGCCACCACCACCGCACTACCCCACCCACCACCACCACGCTACACCGCGTCACACCACATCACACGCGCGCACACACAGACACACACGCACGCACGCACACACACACACACACTTACACGCACACACACGCACACACACAGACACACACACACCACCACCGCCACCACCACCACCACCGCCATCACGCACGTACGCACCTGGCCCACCACCAAACCACCAAGACGCCACACCACGTCACACCACAGCACACGCGCACACACGCACGCACGCACGCACGCACGCACGCACGCACGCACGCACGCACGCACGCACGCACGCACGCACGCACGCACGCACGCACGCACGCACGCTCGCACGCACGCACGCACACAACACTAACACACACAAACACACACACAACACACAACTCTCCCACACACACCACACACCACACTACAACACACACACACACACACAGACACACCACCGCACGCGCACGCACGCACGCACACACACATACACACTACCACCACCACAACAACCACAACCACGCACACACGCACGCACGCACGCGCACCACCACCCACTACGCACACGCGCGCGGAGCCACAGGTCCGCTACGACACGCGTCCGCGGATAGAGAAAGTCAGCGCCATGGTAAGGGATGGGAGGGAGGGGTAGGATGTCAGATGTTGACGCGAGCTCAACTACCTTGTCCTCCTCCCCCTCCCCCTCCTCCCCCTCTCCTCCCCCCCTCCTCCTCCTCCTCCTCCTCCTCCTCCTCCTGCTCCTCCTCCTCCTCCTCCTCCTCCTGGCTCAAGTCCTTGGCCTCTGGGGGCTCAGGACTGCCGCACTGCCATCCAGGGAAGGCCCTGGGTGCTGGGGCTCGAGAAGGCCCCCCCGTGGCCCTTTCGGCACCACGACACCGCAGTTGGTTTTCGCATCTTTGTGCGCGCTGGGGAGGCGCAGGGAGCACAAGCAGCGATGGCCAAGCAGCAGAAGTACATCCTGTGCAATCGCCGTGGGTGCAAGGGCTGGACTTGGAGCAGTACTGGGGCTAAGCATTGTGATCAATGTGGTGGCCGCTTCAGGTCGCAGCAGTATGCACCACCCGGAGGCGCTCGTGGAGGCGCCGCCAACAACCCAGGCGCAGGTGGTCCTGGGTCAGAGCCCATGCCACCGCCATCGCAGCCCGACAAGCCTGGCCGCTGGCGCGGACGGGACAGATCTCGTGGGCCCAGCCATCCGCCAGGACTGCGACGCCCAGGATCGATCACCTTCGCCGACGGGGAAGGACAACAGCCACAAGAAGAAGATATCGTGGCCCTGGCGCAGGCGCAGGTCACGTTCTGGAAGAAATGGAAGCCCAACGGAGAAGAGTACAATGCAACGTTGGGCAAACTCAAGCAAGCCAGGGCCTCCGTCCTGGCTACCAAGTCGTTGGATCTACAGGCACAATCTCTCTCGGACCAGCTGGAGACACAGCGCCAGAAGTACATCACGCAGACCACGGAGCTCAAGAAGCTCGTCGAGACCATCCTGGAAGTCAGTGGGCGGCACTCCAAACTCGTCGAGGAGGCCAAGTCCACGCAGCAGGATATCCAGAGCCTCGAGAGCCAATACAACATGGCAAAGCAGGCCGCCATGCAGGCAGCCACAAAGGACGAAGATCTACTCTCGACCTTGCAAGGAGTTCTCGCAGCCCGTATGCCGCCAGGCAGCAGGGCACCACCCGACCTCTGCTCGAAGGTGTCAGAGCTCGCCTCCTACTTCGACGACCTCACCGCCCAGCACGCGCAGACCCAGTCGCCCTCTGACTTCCCTGCCGTCGGCCAGCGCCCAGAGGACGAGTCAGGAGTGGACGCGGGCTCCGCGGCAAGCCAGCAGACCAACCCCGCCGAGCTTGTGCCGACCCCGACCGACACCGAGCTCGACGACGGCAAGATGGACGAGTCGGAGTCCCTGGTGCGCGCGGCGTCCGCCTTCCAGTCCGCGGCCAGCGGCATGGCGGAGATCCAGGGCGAGAGCGGCCCAGAGGTCAAGCGGGCGAAGGCGGCGGCCGCCACCGCAGCCGCGGGCGCCTCAGGACCAACTACGTCGCGTTCCTGACGAAAACATCTACACGTTTGCCACGATCAACGGATCGTGTTGGGGAGCAGTGAAGGCCTTTGTTGAGCCCGCCACTGCGAATGATTTAACTTTCATTTGCGCACAGGAGTGCAAGCTAGAGTCAGGTGATAGCATCACGCGTCAGATTCAATGGTGCTTCGCACGCGGCTGGCTCGCCCACACTTCGCCAGCCGCCCGCAGCCCCTCGGGTGAACTCGTCTCGGGGGTGGCGGTTTTAGTTCGGGACGGCTTGGACTTGGGGGCCCAGCCTCTCCCCTTCCCTCCCGCGACGGACAGCTGCAGAATCGCTGGAGTTGCCATTGAAGCACCAGGGGTCCCAGCCTTCGGTTTGGTGAGCGCTTATGTTCAGGCTTCTGTGGGTCTCAATGAGACACATCTAAACCTGCTGGCCACAATCGGCCAGACCCAGGATCTCGCGGGCAAGCCTCTCATTGTTGCTGGTGATTTCAATTTGCAGCCAGAGAGGATCCAGACAGGCACGGATTTTCTTACTCGTGCCACGATGTTGGTTGCGGCGCCCACCGCGGCCACCTACTACACTAAGAAGACGAAGTCGACCAACGATTTCTTTCTCCACAGCCAGGCCTTCGGGCCATGGCTGAACCCCCTCGTTCCTTGGCCTCCTATCCTCTCCCCCCCCCCCACCCCACCGTCCTGTTATCATGACCCTGCGAGTGCAGGACAACTTTAAGATCCCGGCGCTCCTCGGGCCCTAGAAGCTCCCCACTAGGACGCCTATAGGACGTCAGCTCCCGTCGGTAAGTTGGCATCAGACAGCTGCAGTGGTAGATTATGCTATCCAGCTTCTCGGAGATGCTCCCCAGCCCCTCTCCGACCAGCAGCGCTCCACCATCCTGGACCACGTGTACTACACCCTCGTCCAGGACCTGGAACACACACTCAGTGTGAAAACGGACACCCCCTTCAAACCCAGCAAAACCCCCAGGGCCCACCCCCCAGATCCACTGGGTCTCGGCGAGTGCCAAGTGCTCCCAGGGACGAAAACGCTGGACGGCCTACTCCAGGCCCCTTCGTTGGCCCCAGAATCGGCTGCAAGGTTTTCGGCGCAGCATCCAGGATGAGGATCTCCAGGAGTTTCGGGACACCCTGGACAGTCTGGAAGACAGCCCAGATAGCTTTAACACCTCCCCTGCCCTGGCCCAAGGGCTGCAGGAAGTTCGTATAGCTGCAGGACCTTTGCATGAGGATTTCCAGGCGCAGAGGCTCAACACTGCGCTGGGCATCCAGATTTTAGATGATCTGCTCGAACAGGTCGGCAAGGTAATCAACTCTGAGCTTGCCGCCGAGCACATTAAGGACGGGCAGGAGTGGAGGGATTGGGCGCAATCTTCTACGAGAGGTGGAGTGGGATGGGCGCACAGGTGGACGAAGAAGCTCGAAGCCTGGAAGCCAGTCTCTGTTGTGCATCGCCAGCGTTTTTCTGGACGCCCGCAGCACATCCTCCAGGTTGAGGCCGACAGACTCGCCGAGATTTGGAACGTCCATCCCGAAGCCCCTCCGCAGTGGGTTCCCCCGACCGACGACAGAGTGGCCCTGTGACCCATCACCCCCGAGCGCCTCCGCAAAGTGTCTCGAAGTTTTCCGCGCAGTACGGCCTCAACGTGGGATGGAGTGCACCCACGTCATTTCGCCATGCTCGACGACGAGCAAGCTGACCTAGTCTGTAAGTTGATCGAGCTTGTTGAGCAGATCGGGCACATGCCATCGCAGCTGCAGGGTGCTATCTCGACCCTCATGCTCAAACTCAAACAGCAGGAAGACATCGACGCACAACCAGCCTTTCGGTCGATTGGCATGCTCCCTGCTCTTTATCGTGTGTGGGCCCGTTTGCGAAGGTCGGCGGCCCGTGAGTGGGAGTATCACCACAAACGACCCTACATAGCACACCAGGCGGGGCACTCCATCGTGGAACTCGTCTACGCTCAGTCGCTTGAATGCGAATTTCACGCTTGCCGTGAGGAACCCCAACACTCCGCTCAAGTTCTGTGGGACCTATCGAATTATTATGAACATGTTGATCGTGAGTGCCTCGCATGCGTGCTGTGGCGTCTGGTGTCCCGTGCTGCTTGCTCCGCGTCATCCTCGCTCAGTACGGAGGTTCCAGGTTCGTTGCCATGCAAGATGTTTGTGTCAGTGTCGGCAAGGCGTGGAGGGGTCTCATTGCTGGGTGTGGGTGGGCAACGTACCTGGTCCAAATGTATGTGCTCGCTCCCCTTGACCAGTGGACGGCCGCACACAGCCACGTCCGTCTCGCGATGTTTATCGACGATTTGTTGCTGC